ACGGCCTAAGGTAAAATGCTAACAATGATAAGTACAAACTCTAAAAATATATAATATTACGGGAGTGTAGTAATCGACTGTTTTATAATTATATATTTAATATAGTGTGCAGATTCAAAAAACTTATGTTGGACGAAAGTTTTATATTTTACGTGTTACTAGAGTGTGCAATTCCACGCACGAGCCCTTCTATTACACCATACGTGTATATCTTTCTGTGCAATATGCACATTACATGCTGTTTAAATTTACACGTTATCACATATCATTCAAAACGTACCACTCCGTACCATTTGAAAATTACCACTCCAGTGCTTGTCATATGTGTTATCACGTATCTTTTGAAACGTACTATTTGAAAAGTACCACGAGCCAGTGCTTGTCATACGTGTTATCACGTTCATTCGAAACGTACTACTCCGCACCATTTGAAAAGTACCACTCCGTACAATGAGCCAGTGCTTATCATACGTGTTATCACGTATCACTCGAAACGTACCACTCCGTACCATTTGAAACGTACCACTCCGTGCAACGAGCAAATGCTTGTCATACGTGTTATTACGTATCATTCAAAACGTACCACGCCGTATCATTCGAAACGTACCACTCCGCATAACGTGCCTACACGTGCCACAAAAAACGTACCATTACGAACATTACCGAAACCACCACGTGCCACCACCCGTACCACTTTTCTTACAGGGATAATAACGAGAATTCATGTAACGAATGATTTGCATCGATGGATATCATGAAACACATCTGAAGTTATGACATTCTAAACAGAATTTTAATGCGTAATAACTCAATTGAATTTAATAGTAAGTATATAATTACTACGTTGTTTATGCAGTTACTGCATATTTAAGATATTTAAGTTTCTGCAAATTTAACAAGATATCGAGCAAGTGCAGTAAGTTATGTGAAATCTAATTAATTTTGTGTATCAAATTATTAAGACAGAATTTAATGTGGTAGTTCTGTAGCAAATCAGTGGGTTTTTTTATTTGTTACTACTTATTGGGGTAGATGCATTAATGTATTTAAAACTTTGAATGAAATATACATAGCAGGAATTATTTTGCATAAGCATATTCATAACAAAGGTTGGGATTCTTAAATAAATTCTTATCATTTTCATCCTAATACCAGTCTAACTTTATTATATTAACTAATCATGAGTTTGTATTGAAATTGTCATAATTTCTAGTAAAAAAAATTCCATTACAGAAAATATAGACTAACATGGTGACACAATATGAGTTTACTAATCCCCCCACCACTTCTGAATGATACTACTAGTTAGTCATATATTCATATATCGGAGTATCTGTGCCATTAATCAATTTTATAGTACTCCGATAGTGAAGTGGTGGGGAAATTAGTAAACCCGACACAATATGTGGTTAGTTTATTAATAATCGGTTTTCTTGAGCATTGTGGTTTAATTCTATTTCTAAAACAATATTCAAGAAAGTTAATTTCAATAGATTTCTAAAATAATCAAGTTTTTGAATTGTTAATTTTAATTTCACATAGGGTGCTAGACTTTTGAAAAATAAATTATTATTTCTATTCACTTTACTTTCAATTTCACCTTGATTATACCTACAAGATTGCCTATTTTATTAGCGTCATATTAGCATGTTTTTTGTAATAAATATATGCTTTATATTCATCCTTTTCAACTCCAATTCCATAAATATAACAATGTCCAACTTGATATATTCCATAAGCATCATTCAAATTAGCGGATTTTTGATAGTAAACGAATGCCTTATTTTTATCCATTACAACACCAACTCCATTGTAATAACAATCTCCAAGATTGTTCATTCCTATAGCATAGCCCATTTCCGATAATTTTTGATAACAAATAAACGCTTTATATTTGCTCGTTTCTACTCCAATTCCATTATGGTAACAATATCCAAGCCAGTCTATTCCACTAGCATTATCCATATCAGCAGATTTTTGAAAATTTATAAATGCCTTATGTTCATCCTTTTCAACACCAATTTCATATATGTAACAATATCCGAGATTGTTCATTCCACTGGCATTACCCATATCGGCGGATTTTTCGTAATAAATGAATGCTTTATGTACATCCTTTTCGACTCCAATTCCGTTTCGATAACAATCGCCAAGATTGCATATTCCACTTGAATTACCCATATCAGCAGATTTTTGAAAATAGATGAATGCCTTATGTTCATCTTTTTCAACTCCAATCCCAATTTTATAGCAATAACCAACTTCATTCATTCCAACAGCATTACCCTTATCCGCAGATTTTTGATAATAACTAAATGCTTTTTGTTCATCCTTTATAACTCCAATTCCATTCCGATAACAATCTCCAAGATTGCACATTCCACTAGAATCACCCATATCGGCAGATTTTTGAAAATAGATGAACGCTTTATATTTGTTCTTTTCAACACCAATTCCATTTTTATAGCAATAACCAACTTCATTCATTCCGACGGCATTACTTCTATCCGCAGATTTTTGATAAAATTTAAATGCTTTATGTTCATCCTTTTCTACTCCAACTCCATTTCGATAACACGATCCTAAAATGCATATTCCATTAGAGTCACCCATATTTACAGATTGTTGATAATAAATGAATGCTTTACGTTCATTCTTTTCAACACCAATTCCTTTTTCGCAACAATGTCCAAGACCGATCATTCCGCTGGCATTACCCATTTCGGTAGATTTTTGATAACAAATGAATGCTTTGTGTTCATCCTTTTCAATACCAATTCCTTTTTCATAACAATAACCAATACAGAACATTCCTTTAGCATTACCCATGTCGGCAGATTTTTGATAACAAATGAATGCTTTATGTTCATCCTTTTCAACACCAATTCCATTTTCGTAACAATATCCAAGATTGTTCATTCCGATTGCATGGCCCATTTCAGCTAATTTTCTATAATAAGTTAATGCTTTATCGATATCTTTTTCAACGCCAATTCCTTCTTGATAACAATAACCGAGCAATTCGATACCAAATGGATCGTCCATATCTGCTGATTTTTGATAATAAATGAATGCCTTATGATCGTCTTTTTCAATTCCCGTTCCAAATTGATAACAAATACCAACATCACCCATTCCATTAGAATTTCCCAATTCAGCTGATTTTAGATAATGAATAAATGCTTGATTATAATCATTTTTAATCCAATTTCCATAATGATAGCACATTCCAAGAATATGTTGAATGTTAGAATTAGTTTGAATGATAGGATTTGTTTTGTTATATAAACATAAATTGATTATTTCTTCTGGTTTTTGCTGTTTATTTGCCATATGCTGTTCTATCGAGTAAATAATTGAGTCATTGTAATTTTCTTTCATAATCTCTTTTTTATACAAATCACATAATTCTTCGATAATGCTATTTAGAAAATCCTGTGAATTATGTAGTGATAAATCTGCTCGCTTTGAACAATTAACAATTTGATCTTTATCATCATAGATAATATTTTTTTTTGTATTGTAAATGTTTAGCAAGCTTTTTTCATTTGACATAATATCTAAAGATGCCGTATATTCAAGGAGTAATTTATTTAGAAATAAGTGCGAGTTTCAGAGTTTAAAAGATATACGTTTTGAAATTCCGAAATTAGAAAATTAAATAGGAGCATACAATTATGAAATTCCGAAATCAGATGCAGAGTAATTCGGTAATTTAAACCAATAATGACAATGAACTATAAATTGCTTGTTACACGACTATTTTGTACCATGATAATGTCGCACTTGAAATTGACGTCTGAATCGAAATTATGTGTTGAGGAAGTGATGACTATCGGAATAAAGGCTAAAACTAACTATCTAGCTATCCTACAACACTATATAACCAAACTAATCGCTCAATCAACAAGATAAGACCGAACTATAAAGCGGAAGGCTTCGAATATAGGCATGGAGAGACGTGGTCCGAGTTTTTAGAGCTTGGGCCTTATGGTGATACTACCGGGTTCAGATAAGTCTTCTCTCTGCTTATACTGATAATAGGTCTTGATGGTTTAACATTAACGCTTCTATCTCGTATTCTTCAAGTCTGCTGCTTATTTCGGGACCATGTATGGCGAAACCAAGCTGTATGAGGTGATCGGCTTTTCAATATTCTGTTTCAATCGTTAACGTTAAGATTCTTAGCGATTATCACGTGCTACATCACGAGTAATTATGATCAATCGATTGTTATATTAATTAGTGATAACAAAAGATCTCAGGGTTATCTGTAATTGGTATATAAAGGTAGACAATGCGAATTTTGGTTCTTGGACTTTCTCTTTTATAATAAGTAATGATTTTATAGTGGGGACATAAAATAATATGAAGAACGATTTATTATGGAATCCAAGTAAAAACAACTTAGATACACCACTTCTACTCAAATTTCGAAGGGTTTTCTCAACTCAGTTCAAAGCGACGAGGCCATCGCTTTTGTACTTTTTACATTCATATCTACATTACAGGTTTTTACTCTGAAACTTATTGTCAAAAAGTCGGATTTGAACGATCTGACAGTTCTGAATGATTTGTTAGATCTGACCGATCTGTCATATCTGTCATATCTGTCAGATCTGGCCAAAAAGTAACATCTATTTTAGTTGAAATATTCACCAAGTGCTATTGTATACAAATAAAGAAACAATAGACTGATAATAAAGATAAGGAGGTTTGAAGTTACAATTTCATTTAACGTTCTCCTCCCAAGAGCTCCCTGAAATTAAACAAGCCAATCAGAACGTCTGTTGAGATTTCAATAAATCATATGACTACAAACTAACCAATATTGATGTAGATTTTTTTGAGATATTATAATGTTTCTTTAATTTGACCCCTCCCCCCACTGTGCTTAGCTTTGAAAGGAACGTTATACGAAATTATAACTTCAAATAACCTAATAATAAAATTAAAATTAAAAATAAATAGGGCCGCTGTCTTTCACAATATCCTCATGCTTATTCACAAGTGCCATGAGTGGGATTCACAACATTAGAGTCTAAATAGTATACCCTAGTTAGGTTAGTGTAGGTGGTCGGTATACTTGCTCCATTCCATACTAATAGCGGTGACCTAATAGTAGTGGGATACCATTTCTCGAATACTGTTAAGTTGGGTTTTGGTTATAGTATCTAGAATTGAGCCTAGATAATAGGATTTACAAGACTTTTAATTTGGTATCCTCTTCTTCAGGCCAAGAGCAGGCTGTACTGGGTAATAGTAATCTGGACAGTGATGTCCTAATCATCTTTAAAAGGATGCGGTGTGGAAGTTATATTAATTGGCTCAAGATATTGATGGTTGAATTGGATGCATTGGACTAGATCAATATTACCCATTTTATCTGTTGCTTTTGCTGTTAGCTTGTTGGAAAATATATTCTATTTATACTTTTTACTCATGATATGGTTTTAACAATGTTTTGTTTACTAGTACTGTAAGTACTTTGCTACTTACACAGATAAAAATAATGTATATTTTAGAAAAATATTTTAAAAATATATAATAAATATATTTAAATATTATTTGTATTTTTACTATATATAGCTAAGTAATAATTTTAAAATATTTATACTAGTATAGTAATATATAGTTAATATTTAGTACAAATTATTACTTATTTCTATATATTTTCTATATATTATCTAATAAATTTACTAAATACATATTCATTATATATTTATTAGAAAATATATATTTATATTACTATAAAAATATATAGTTAAATATTTAGTATAATATTTCAGTTGTGTTAAATTACAGTAGTGCTACTGACACTAGTATATTATATGTGGTGTAATATGAACAAAAAATTATTAAAATTTAGCTTATATTAGTGTTAGGGTTATAGTTAAAATTGTAACAAAAGTTAGTATATACCAAAATTATATAAAGAATTTTTTTTATTAGAGTACAAAAGGCAGTTTTATAAGCAGAATTTTGTATCATTGAAGGTTTTTAAAAAACAATAAAGATTGTTTTGATTTTATATTATATCTAATTTTGATATTATACTGCAAATTATTAATTTTATTAGTCAAAATTAATATTATTATTTAATTAATTTACAATAGAAATTTCTAGACATCTCTGGTCAAAGATGCCTAATGATAATATTTCTGATCTAATAGCTAATTAAAATTTCAAAAAAGCATGTAATATCTGTTTTTGTATAATATGAAAGATGATTATTACAAATTAGTTTAACAAAACAAAACAACAACAAAAAAGTGTAAAGAAAAAAAATATCAAAAATAGCTATTTAAATATATTTTAAAATACTAATTAAAAATATTAAAAAAATGATTTTATTTATAAAACTTGCTCTTCCTTTAACTCTATATAGCTCTATCTAGTGATTCAAATTAGGTCAAGTCAACCCAAACCTATTTCAGATCAGATCAGGTTCAGGGTAGAAATTTTTGATATAAAAATTTTAGATCAGATTTGGCTTAAGTATTAGCTTAATCTGAACTCAACCAAACCTGACCTAAAATTTTTTATTTAGCTGTTTTTTATTTATTAGAATTCATTCTTAGTTAACTTAGTAATTAATGCATTTGATTTTTGTATAATTTATACTATACCAGAATATAACTATATTGCACAGTTGCTTTATATTTAATAATAGTATATAAATTTGGGTCCATAAAATTAGATTTAAAAACTTGAAATTTTTTCTGATAGTATTCAAAAATTTATACAAAATTTAGTTTAAATTTAATAAATTTTAGATAAATTTAAAAAATTTTATAAATTTATTCTTTGTTTTATTAAATTACAACATTGTCTAATTGTTTTAAAGAATATTATTATAAGAATACAAGTATATAATTTAATTTATTGCAATGACCAAATATAAAAATAATTAGAAATCATATCGTACTAAGTTATATAAATTTATATCTTTAGATCCCAACATCAATATCTAATACAAGCTAGTTATGTACTATATATCTTAGCTAAATAAATTTGTATAAAATTTTATTAAAAATAAAATATATATTAGTAAGATAAGCAAATTAAATATTTTTTGAATTTACTATATAGCCTACACAGACCTATATTCTGGTAGTTTACTGCTAATACAAACCAGAATTGTGAAATTTTAAATTATTTTGAAATTTCAAAATATTTCACCTGTATAGCATACCATTTTAATATAACAAAACTATAATATAATAGTTAAATTTAATAATTTAAATATAAAATTTTTAAAATTTAAAATTTCGAGTTGATATTTGAAATTTGTAAAAAAATTTATATTTAATTTTATAAATTTTAAATATGAATATAAGAGGAATTATCTGCATAGGTTATCTAATTGTAAATCTAATTAGTTTAAAAATATTTTTATTACTAATTATTGCTTGATTGTATAATTTTTTTGATATTCAATCAAATAATTTATTTTTATAATTTGACTTTTTCAAAAACAATTTTTGTACAATTATACAATCGAACAACTATCAAATAAGAGTTGCAGTCTATGAAATTTAATTGATTTGTAAATAATAATAAATACTAAAGTATTTTCTATTACTATATTTTTTCATTTTAACTGATCTTGAATGGAATTATTTTCATTTTAGCTGATCTGAATGAATATATATATATATATAAGTATATACTAATATAATTAATTATTAGATTTAAATTATATTGCAATAGATTCTAAATTATATAAAGTTAAAATTATTATATATATTAATTATTTTATAAAAAACAAAATAGTAATAATTTAATAAATCTATATATTATATATAATTCATATTGTTATAATAAATGATTTTGTTTTTTATTTTGATGTCAAATTTTTGCTGTATTTATTTAAATAAACCTTTTAATTAAATAAATTATTAGTAAGTACATATTAAATTCTTAAATTATTGTTATTTAAATTTGTTATTATTTATAGTAAATTACTATTTATATCTTCAAATTTGCTAACACTATCTGCCAACAAGTAGTGTTCCTATAAACCCGAATCAGACTAAACTTTGGGTTGAGTTCAAGTTTGGTTCAAAATTAAACCAAACCCAAATCAGACTTATTTTTAAAAATACAGTTTAGTCTGAGTTCAATATTGAACTTTTAAACCAGGTTCAAGTTCAGTCTAGGTTCGGTTCAAATGTTTATAAACTTGTTTAAGTTTAATGTGAATTGTCACATAGACTGGGCTTGGTCTCAAAAAGCTTGTTCCAGAGTATTAATTATTATAAATTAGGATTTCAGTTTTTTATTTTCAACTGTTTTCTACACATTTTTCAGCCTGATATTTTTTCAATACTAATACAAAACTTGTCTACTATATATATCAATTTGGAGAAGTTTGACAGTATATAATTTTAAATTTTAAACTAATTTTATATTAAACAAAATTTTATATATACTGTCAAACCTCTTCACATCAATATGTATAGTAGACAAGTTTTAATCAGTATTTATAATATATTGATTATGCAACAATTAATATCGATCGATGTTATTATATAATAATGAGTATAATTTACAAGTTATTTTGGCTAACTGGGTTTTAATTTGAGATTATTGTGCTTATGTACAAAAATAATGAAGAAAAATCTATGATCATAAGGATTTGTATGATAATATTAAAATTACTATTCAATACAGTTCTGTAACTTCATAGATATACATGTCTGAGAAGTTATGCAACAGAATTGAATAGTGGTTTGAATGGCAGTTTGAATAGTATAAAAACAATCCTTTGACTAGATTCATTTTTTATTGCATTATTGAATACTATTATAAGTTAACATATACTATTAAACCTTTTAAAATCAACATGTATACAAGTTTTATATCAGTATTGAGAGTTTATCTGGTTTGCAAACTATTTGATTATATACTTTTATATTCTTATAGTTTTTTCCTATTTGTATATCCGGGTATTTTACATTTTACCAAACTTATTCTATATTGTACTGTAGATCTGGGTATAGTGCATATTGGGTCTACTATTTAGGGGGATCTTGTATCTAGCTATTTATTATATTAATAATTAAATTGGTAACAGTAAAGCAAGTCATATTATATTTTAATCATGGGTGATGATGGAATAATTATAGTTAGTTATCAATATAAAGAATTTGGGTGTTGAAAAAATAAACACAAAGCATTCAAATATTTAATTTTAAACTTTAACAAAGATAACATATAATTATAATCATCTGACTATAATTTGATTTTTAATTCTACTAATATCGATACAAGAAATTATTAATAAGTTTTTTATATATATTAAATTGTAAAGTTGATTTAGAATCAAATTTAGATGGGTACTGTGTAAAGTACCAGGTATTGCATTTGGAGATATATTATATTAAAATTAGTTAATCAATATATAGTTATATTCCTGGATCTTATTCAAGAAACATTTGGTAAGAATAATGAGTAATATCTGAATCTTAAGCATAACTGAATCTATTAATCTTTGATTCATTAAATATTTGCTACAATAATGATATTAAATAATTTTTTAGATAATTATTTTATTTCAAACCCTAAATTGAGTCCATTTTACATAACTGTTAAAAAAAAAAAAAATTAATAATCATATATAATATTGCTCAATTTAAGGTAGAAATAATATAATCGATTTAATTTTACGATCATTGTTGTGCAATAAGAAGAATTCTCTATTTTCGAATACATAGCTTTATTTTAAAAGCTATTCGTTCAAAAATCCTAAAATTTGAAAAACCTCTACTTGTCAACTTTAGTAAACAGTGATATTAATATTTGCAGTTATATAGTAGTTGAGTCTAAGTGGCTAAATGCTAACCTAGCTATCAATATTAGCATGTGAAATTGTTATTATGAAAATGGCCAGATTCTTTTGGAAGAGAGGGAGGGTTGGTCACAAATTATAGTCTGTTGAGCAATCATTGGCATAAGGCCTAAAAAAAATGAATTTTTTTTTTAAAAAAAATTGAATAAGCTATTTCTTAGCAAATTAAAGAGTTGAAGGCCATTAACCTAATTATATTAATGCAAGCCAACTATCTAGACACATTATAGCACTTTTGGTAGACCCTAGATAATTTCTATGTACATTTTAATATTAGCCAGAATATAACAAATTGATTTTAATGATTATAGTTTTACTATAAAAATCTTGCCTATTACCCAGCTTATAATTTCCAGTTTCCATAAATTCCAGAACAGCTAAAAATTTCTCAAAATCAAATCAATAAGTACTTAAGCTACCAAGTCAAAACAAACAAA